CTTTCAGGCACAAATGCCTTTAAGAACAGCAAGGAGGTGTTTGTATGTGAAGAACCTGCTCATACATTTTCCTGTGAATTTTCCTTGTTTAGTAAATCAGCTGACTGACATAATTTTGTATCTTCGTGCTGTTTCCCTTGAAACTTAATTCCATTTGTTTTTAATTTAACCTATTATGCTTGGAAAAGACCTTCAAGATCAAGTCCAACTGTAAACCCCTCACCACCATATAGTGGATATTTCAAAACTGTCTTTTTTCCTATGCAGCGGTTATGTTTATGGTTGAGAATAGAACCTGCTCATCTATCTGCTAGCCTTTGGTAGAGGTTATACGTGGTAGGGATCAGCTTTTTACAGGAACCTGATGTGCATGTACTTCCCTGTCTGACCTTGGCATTGTTTGTTGATTTAGCCTCGGAAAGATTCAGAAGAGCAAACAGTTGTGAGCACCAAGAGCAGTCCTAATGTGACAGAAAGATACAAACGTTCACCAAAAGGTAGACCACTGAATATAGAAAATAATTCACCAATCTATAATACTATGATATATTCTTATACATGCATTTCTCCTTCCCCTGCTTTCCTAGTGAAAGCAGCCAACTCAACAGATGAAGCAAAGAACTATACTGTAAATACTACATCTGAAAACTCAAAAGGGTCTCGTTTGCCCCTCCAGTCATCTGATGGTGGAATAGCAAGAGAGCTGGTAGATAAGACCTTGCCTTTGAAACCGAGCTCTAAGCTTGTGGCCCTGAAACAAAAAGATGAGAGCACCGAGAAGGAAAGAGGTGCTCCAAGTGTGTTATCGAAAGGAAAAAATGCTTCGGTGAAAGAAGAGAAGAGAACACCAAAGAAGCAGAAAACTTCTCCCCAAAAGCCTGAGGTAGGCACTGTCAGAAAATTTAGTTCGCTGTTGGGAAAACAGCATGTATGTTGGCTCTTGTTTCTGTGCACTTTAGCAGTTTAGTAAAAAGCTCAAAACATACTTTGTATTTTTAGAATTAAAAATATTCAAGATTACTTAAGTGCTAATAAAACCTATCTATCTTGACAGCCTTGATGGTCAAACATCAGGCAATATCTGGTGTGTTTGGCTAATGTCTTCTTGCATTTGGAGAAGAGGCGTCTGACTTGTGGGGTGGTGGGTTTTTGTGTGTGGTTGAAGATCTCCAAAGAGGAAGGAAAAAAAAAAACTCATTAGGAAAATGTTATTTTTAAAAAGTAGTTTACGTGTGAGTGTAGGTCTTAACTACCGCTGATCATCATTGGAATAAAAGAAGGTATAAATTTAAAGCAAAGGTTTTTGAATTAAATGAATATGCACTTGTGGAGCTAATGCATCCATAGAAAATCAGGAATAAATTTGGGTACATATTTTTTAAAATTACATTTGGAATCTGTGCTTGCGTCTGAGTATTTCATTGTTTATCTCTCTCTCTTTCTCTTTCTCCTGCCAAAGTCTATAAGTCCTGAGGACTCTGAAAAGAAACGAATAAATTATCAGGCCTACAGGAGCTTCCTAAATCGCGAGGGTCCGAAAGCTCTGGGCTCAAAAGAGATACCTAAGGTAAGTTTGACTACAGCAGAATTTCTGCATGTTTTGTGTTGTGGACTCCCATGTGACTGTCAAGTGATCTGCAAGTGACAAGCATCAATAAATATAAATATTTTGAAACTTTTTTTTTCAAGTAGGAAATGCATATTGGAAAAAGCTAAACTGCTTTTTGTAATGCAGAGCAGTGTCTACCTGTAATGATTTACTCAGATGAAGTGATGATGAAAAATTGTTGCAAGCTTTAAAAACTTGAAGGTTTCTGTCACACATCTGATTGACAGCTATGGCTGAAGCACACAGTGTTTACACTAATACCAGTGTTATCTATATGTCCCGTTAGTTAATCAAATGTCTAAAGCTTCGGTAGCTATCCATTTTAATAAAGTGCTTTTTTTTTTTTTTTTTCCTCCAGCTTCTAAAACTAATTGTGTAGTGTAGATTCATTTTATATTTCATAGAGTACTTGACACGGTTGTGTTTAAAAGGTTTTGTTTATAGTGAAAAGTGGAATACTTGGCAGAGTTGCACCCATTAATGGCATTTTGTGCAACGTTGATCCTCAGGGAGCTGAGAACTGCCTGGAAGGCCTGACGTTCGTCATTACCGGGGTTCTGGAGTCCATTGAAAGAGACGAGGCCAAGTCTCTGATTGAGCGTTACGGAGGGAAGGTGACTGGCAACGTCAGCAAGAAGACCAACTACCTGGTAATGGGGCGAGACTGTGGCCAGGCTAAACGTGAAAAGGTAAGTGCTGCTGTGCCTGAGCCAAGCAGTGTGAGTTGTTCCCCTCTTAACTTCTCTCTCTTTTTTTTTTTTTTTTCCTCCTTGTATATGCTGCTAGTTTAGCAGGTGTTTGGCCCGAAGTTTTGCTGCGTGGTGTGTATTTTCTGTATATAACTTTGGGACTGTCCAGCAGCAGTTTTATGCCCAGTGCGTTTGGTATGGCCAGCCGTTACTGCTAGAGGCAAACGGTGCTGTGCAGCGCGACGCGTGTCGGGGCTGTGCTGAGGGGAAGGGGAGCTGAGCTTTAGTGCCTGCAGCTTAAGGCAGGTGCTACTGTAAAAGGTCAAGTTCTAACTGCAGGATAGTACTGGATCTCTGATTTTCCAGTGTAGAGGTGTGTGTGTGTGTGTTCTGTCCTTAGCCCATGTGCAGTGGGTGATCAAGTTCCTAGCATGTTGTATTAATAAGTGCTTGAAATAAGACTTTTGCTGTGATATGATCATGCTTGGGCCATCTTTTTCAGCAAGGAACTTCTTTACCTTCTTCAAACTACACTTGTTATTTAAATTTGCAAGTTATAAATCATGTTCTTATAGAATATGAAAATAAAACAAAGCACTGTAATTCAGTGATGTAAATTTGTGTGTTGTTTGTTTTTTGTCATCATTAGTGTTCCTGCACATACTCCTTACAGGAAAGGATGTTGCTGAAATGGGTTATTTAATTCTGTGTGACTTTGCTTCTAATTTTTGTTTTGGCTCCAGGCATCAACCTTAGGGACAAAAGTGCTGGATGAGGATGGCCTCTTTGATCTTATTCGGACTATGCCAGGCAAAAAGTCCAAATATGAATTGGCAGCTGAAATGGAGGTTTGTCTAAAATAAATTCGAGATTGTATGGTGCTGCGTGGTGGGTTTATTTGTTTATTTTATTCAAAGGAGCTGATCAGGTAGCTTCAGAATTGTTTGTTCCAGTAACAGTAACTGTGTGATTGTCAGTTTCATTTTCTCTGTTAAAATAATTGAAAATGGAAGTTTTATATCTGTGTTTTAGGACTTCTACTTTGGAGTCTCTTTTCTCTGAGATCTCATTCAAACCTTTCCTTTTTCTGCTCTGGTTCATTTATTTTGAGTACCTGATGCGGGGTGGGGACTTGTACCTTTTAGCTTCAGTTTTGACAGCATCTCACTGCTCTTTGAAATAAGCAATTGTGACTTTTCGCAGTTACTAAACTGCAGTAAAGAATGCCAGATTTGGAATAATTTGTGTGGTCTAATATAAAATTGCACTGTAAACTTGGTATGTAAACTGTATTTATGTAAACCATGGGTATATATAACAGATAATGCCTTTATATGGTAGTTAAACCAATACTAATGAAGGCAAACCAATCATGGAAAACTAGTAGTAAGGACGCTTTTAGGCACAGCTAGGTGCAGTCTGTAGTAGCCGGTGCAGTCTGGTTGGAGCGTCTGCTGGCTCTGACACATGGTTAGTGTGGACTGGCATTTCTGAAGCAGCTAAACATGAGTTTTTATCTGCTGTTGAGATGCTCTCAACGTGTTTATTTCCCAACACATCAGCTCTGTGTCTTAAGCTCTCCTATACATGTATTCAAAGGCTGCATGTTTACTTACTGTGTAATTAACTCCCCCCCCCCCCCAAAAAAAAAAAAATTCAACTTTCTCTTTCCCATGTTTGTTCCCCCACCCTGCCCCTCCAAGGCAAGAAAAGCAGAGCCAAAACAGGAAAAGACACCACAGAAAAGTGAAGCTGGAAGAAGAAAATTTAGTCCCTTCAAAAGAGAAGCGGATAATAAAAAGAAGAATTCCACTCCTGATAAAGGAGGCACCCACAAGTCTGTTAAGAAAGAAGCTACTGCTGTTCGAAGACTTGAAGACTTCAAACCGCAACCTGCAGAGAAGAAAGAGGCCTCAAAGCCTGGGGGGACCTTGGTTTCTGAGAGGAGCGAGGACGGAGCCGAGAAGCTGCTGTGGGTAGATAAGTACAAACCTACATCTCTCAAGGCAGTAATTGGGCAGCAGGGCGAGCAAAGCTGTGCCAATAAACTGCTTCGATGGCTCCGGAACTGGCACAAAAACACAGCTGAAGACAGACGAGGTGAGCAGCACCGGGACCTTGCGTCCCTGTCACGGGCCCTCCCACGTCAGTCGGGCTGCTTGGCTCCTGCTGCTGCTCGAGGGATGTGTGTGGTGGGAGAGCGGCGCTCGGAGTCTGCAGTGAGGGCTAAGCACCGCTAGCAGCCGCTGAGCTTGAGGGCAGTTGTCTGTTTACTGTGTTCCCCCTGTCTAAATGTGTTTTAAGTCTTGGTATTTTTATATGTTTTCTTCCATAAGAAATCAAAATAACCTAATAGTAATATATATTAAAAAGGCCCTATGTTCAGCCTGTTGAGTGTCTCTAAACAAGAAAGAGTG